CGTTCAAGTAAATTCTATAAACTTTGTTACTACTTCCCAATTCATAGATGGATTGAATTGCCTTAATAAACAATCAAATTCTCTTCCTCTCCCAGGCTACTAGACAAGTCAGCTATTCTTCCTGAAGGTGTTAATCCACAGCCATGGAAAGTCTGCACAGTGACCCAAGTTGAAGAAGTAAAGTTATTAACAAGGATGATGCCAATTATAGCCAGCACAATCATAATGAACACATGCTTGCCTCAGCTACAGACATTCTCAGTACACCAAGGATACTTCATGGATCCCAACATTTTCAACAAAAAGTTCCCTTCAGCTTCTATCCCTGTGACTCCTCTGTTTTTCATAGCAATCCCAATACCTATCTACGAATTCCTCGTTGTCCCTTTTGCCAGGGAGATTACCGAACACTCATCTGGCATAACGCAGCTGTTCTGGCTTTCGTTCCAGTACGGGATCTTGCGGGCTGGCAGACATGTTTACCGTTGTTGGGTTGATGGAGTTCTTCTACGGGGAAGCTCCGATGGGGATGTAGTCGCTGTCCACGTCGTTCGCGTTGTTGCCTCTGTCGTTTGGGTACTTTCTCAGCAGTGCCTTTGTGGACATCATAAACTCGGTGACGGCAAAGACTACTCCTAGCAAGAGAGGGTGGATTGAAGGGAACAACTTTAATCAAACCAAAATTAAATCTCTTCTACTGGTTCTTGGCTGTTCTTAGTTCTTTCAACTTTGTTATTTATCTGTTCTGCGCTTCATGGTACAAGTCCAGGAAAGATGAAACAAAGTCAGGGACTGGAGTGAAGAAATAACGAAGCGGAGCACTTGAATTTTACTTTCTTCAGAGAAAAAAAACAACAAAAGGGTAAATAAATAGAACAAAATGACTTGAGCTGCCGTGCTAAAGCTTTTTAGACGCATATCGTGGGTGCTCCTCATCCTTTCAAGCATGGTTCCAGTAAAAGTGCAAATAAGGATTTCAACTTTACATTTTTTATTTATTTAAAGATGTTAATTTTAACAGTTTTTAAATAAAGATGTCAATTTTTATTTTTTTTTATTTAAGAATGTCAATTTTCAACTTTTTCTATTTAAGGATTAATTGAATAGTAATGTTGACGTGGCTAACATATTTTTTTAGGTTAAATATTTGAATTGGTCCCTCAACTTTTATTTTTGAACCAATTCATCCTTAAACTTCAAAAAGTACCAAAAACATCCTTCCATTTCAATTTTCAATTTCGTCTTTCCGTCAATTAAATGTTGATGTAACTAATTTTTTTGCTAAGTGATTGACTATTTTACATTTTCAATATTAAGTGGAAAATCCATCATGTAAAAGATGATTATGTGGATTTTTTTTTAATTTTAAATAATTTACAAACTATTTTAATTCTTAATTTTACTTTATTTA